TGAGCCCTTCTGCTATGATTAGAAATAAGAAAGGGGATAAAGGATCTCCCTATTTAAGGCCTCGAATCATATTAATTTCTTGAGTTTGGCTCCCATTTACTAAGATTGATAATTTGAAACTTTGAAGGCATTTTGAGATCCAACCTCACCATTTAATTCAGAATCTTATTTTTCTCCATCATATTCAAAATAAAATTCCAATTTACCAAATCGTAAACCTTTTTGAAATCAACGTTGAAAAGGAAGCCTTTAGCCTTTAACCTTTTTGAAATCAACTTTGAAAAGGAAGCCTTTAGCCTTTCGCTATTTAAGATGACGTAGAATCTCATTTCATATCAAAAGACCATCTGAAATCTATCTTCCTCTGATGAAAATGATTGATTCTCACCAATAATGGATTGCATAACTTTCCTCAACCTCAAAGCCAAAACCTTTGAAAGTATTTTGTAAATACTTCCTATTAGAAAAATGGATAATATTCTCGAATCCCAGCAGAATAGATATGGACATGAATATATAAATCTTCGTGGATTGGATATAGATTTTGCATAATCCTATCCGAATTCAATCCATAATTATCTCTATATTTTTGAGACAGTTTTTAAAAGCAAAAATATTAAATAAAAGATAAGAAGAATTATTATTTATTTTAATATTTGAACAAATTAAGTATTTATCTTTTATCTAGATGAAGATAGAGACATTTTCTAGAACTTTACTATTTTAAGCGGCACTTATAGATATACATACGTACATGAACTAAAGTTTTGAAATTTGGACTTTGAACTTGACCATTGGTATTCCTCGTCATTGTCTTTTTTGTTACTACTATCAAATATCAACACTTTACACTTGGTCACCATTCTCTATATTTTTATCTTCTGCAAACAAATCTACTTTTGTTTTTTGTGGGAATAGTGAGATATTCCAAATTTATATTCCTTATTTTCAACTTTAATATTTTTAAAAGAATTGTGTTGTTTACAAAATAACAATAAATAGTGGATTATAAATTCTTTACATCTCCATTGCTAAACGACGTCGTTGAAACCTCAACTGACTACAAAAGCCGTCGTGCCTATAAACACAACTCCGGTGATTGGAAGTCCCCTTTTCATAATTGGCAGTCAGTCGATGGCTACTGCAGCCATTTCCATATGCAATTATTATATATATTGGAAAATTAAGTTAAATGTGATAATATTTGACACAAAAATATTTTATTCCCAAATTATTTGTGAAGGTACTTCGTATTTTTATGTCTCTAAATTATATCACTATTATTGAAATTCATTATTTATTTCTATTATATGTTATTTCTAAATGAAAGGCCTCAATAATTGATGTAATTAACTATTAAATACTAACTAATGTATTAGAAAGGAATAAGGCTCAATTTATCCTCTAAATTTGGGCAAATATACAATTTTAGTTCAAAGATTAACTTGTTTTACAATTTGCCCCTTAAACTTGCACTAAAAGAACAAAATGTCTAAATTTTTTTATAATTTTAACTAAAAAATTATTTTAAAATATAATAAAATTTTAAAATTTATTGATTTAAAAATAATTTAACAAATATTTGATTTAGAAAGAATTATACAATTAGAAAAGATTGATTATATTGAAATATTTGGTTAGAAAAAAATTATTATTTTTATTATATTTGATTTATATCAAATATTTAATTATTTTTAATCATATTTGATTATATGAAATAATTTATTTATTTTTCTAATAAAATTAGGCATCTTATATTTTTTAATGTAAATTTAAAGGATAAATTGTATAAAAATTAAATTTTGAACAAATTATCTATTGTGTTCAAATTCAGCTACAAATTCAACATTTTTCCTTGTTAGAAAAAGTAAAGACCGAAAAATGCATTTTAGCATTTGATAGTCTTTTGTTTTTTATGATCGAGACAAATTTTCTATAGCTGGCATGGCAGGCATAATTTATACTGACCATATATAATATAAATATATAAATAATCAAATGTATAGATAGAGAAGGCAAAAATTCTTTCAGAAAAAAGATAAGAATTGAAGAAATATCTATTTCATCGAGTGTTAGACTTGTACATTATCGTTTGGGAGATATTCCGTTCTCTTGCAAAGATAAATTCAGAGGGTATTCTTTAATGTGCGGGGACGACAATATGTAAACTATTAAACTAGTAAAAATTATTAATGTTCTTAAGCTCGTTAAACTAGTAAAAATTACTATTATGGTCAATAAAAATCGAATTTGAGACCTCTTAACCTTTATATAAATGATAAGACTAATCACATTATATCTGATTGGCATTTCAATTAATTTTTTAATATAAAAAATTAATTGTGTAATACCCATCTAAATTTTATTTTTGCTGCAATTTATTCTACCATGGCTGATTCTTCTAACTCTTAATTTAGTAAAGTCTGGTTAGACTCTAATCATTTGTACATGCTCTACCATGAAAAATAAAACTTCAATGCCAACAAAGAAGGTTTTTGGTAAGAATTAAAAAAATAATTACCATCTATCTCAGAATCGACGGTAACTTATGAAGATAGTTATTATATTTTGAGACGAAATAATTTTATATTTTGAGACAAAACAACTACTCTAAAACGGCTTACATTTGGGAGGAGAAGAGTACATACTTTCTCCTTTAGCATGGTTTAGGAAAATTTTAAAATTATAAATAATAGCTCTGTAGTTATCTTTTGTCATATGACACAATTTTAAGCACTTACACCATATTTTGTATGGTGTAATCAACCATATAATAGAATGAGGATTACATTACATGTGATTTATTGTTTGATAGACTTTTTTTGGACAATGTAATATAATTGAGATTACATGTATAATCTTCATTACTTAAATTAATGTAATATTTATTGCATCAAAAAACACGTGTATTGTCCGTTACTTCACATATATGTGATGCTAATTACATTAATCTATCTCAATAAAAACTTTATAATTGAAGTTTATTTAACACTATTACCTCACCACCACATCCACCGTCACCGTTCCACCACCACCTCAGCTACCACTACCACTATTGCTTCACCACCATCACCTCGAACATAGCCTTAGAGGTAGAATTAGGAGATGCAAACTTTGCATTCAACACTTTTTTTTCTTAAATATTTTTTAGTATTGTTTTTGTTAAGGGTTACTTAATGTTTTTTTTTTTTTTAAAGACTACTTAATGGTTTTTTGTTATTTTTTTTCTAATCTTTTTTAAATTATGAATTATTTTTTATAATTTTTTATATATATTCTGGATCAACATATAAATAATTAATAAAATAAATTTTTATGCATAAATAAAGATAGATAAAATAATATCAATAATAAGAAATTACTATCAAATTAGATCAAAATACCTTTTTTTTTTTTTTTAAAGAAAGATAAACTACCTTGTAATATGAGAATTCTAATCAAATATAATACTAACTTGTATGACAAGCAATTTCTAAGCATGTAGGCATCATTCCTATTTTTTCCATATACTTCTACATTCAAATGCTGAAAAAATTAAATTCTTATAGAAAATAAAATATTTTAAATTATATAACAATATTTGTTTTCATAATTATGTTATTTTCCTATAAAATTTTTATTGTTATCTAAATACTACAATTTACTTTTCTGAAGTTTTACTCCTCTAGAAAATTAATTTTTTAAAAGAAAGTTGAATTCTGATAACTAAACACCATCTTAAAGCAAGTTTTGAACTGATAATTTCATTATAATCAAGAGTTAATTTTTTGTGACTGTTTTCTAAAAAGAAAAATATTAAAAGTTTAAGAATTTAGGTTCCGTTTGTTTCTGTAAAATAATTTACGGGAAAATATTTTCACGATTTTCCGTTATTTGGGGCGTTCAGAAAAATAAGTCAATGGAAAATATTTTCCTGGTCAAAGGAAAATTAAGTCATTTTTTAAAGAAAATAACTTCCTATTTTCGATAAAGATAATTAGGCGAGAGATAATTAACACCTGGCGAACAAAAAAAAGATATATAGTGGAAATTGTCACGTATAATACGCTATTGTACTAGCTGCCGAAAAAAAAGGTAATGGGGAAATATTTTCCTCAGGGTCAAAGACGATAGGGAAATCTAGAATAGAGATGAGATGAGAGAGAGAATTAAGATAAGAGCCACAGCCGGTAAAAAGGGAATTTCACCGGACATTAACAAAATCTTAATAAAAGCATTAATTTTTAATTTATTAATCATATCATATCATCATTCATCGTTTTCAGGGCCCCTGGCACAACTCACCTAATGGCCACAGCACCAACTAACACGGCCACAGCCAGCCCACGGGTGTGGGTGCCACCGGCGGCGTTTATATTTACTATTTTTTTCAATTCTGTTCAATTACAATAATTATAAATTATAAAATTTCATATTATGTCATATTTAACAATAAAATTTATAAATTATAAAATTTCTATTATTATTAATATTTTTTATGGTCTTATGAGATAAAGGTTTTAATATTTCTAATTAATTTTCAATATTACAACCAAACAACGAAAATAAGTCATTTGAAAAGTATTTTTCATCAAAATATGTTTTAGCAAATTATTTTCGTACAAGTTATTTTACTGAACAAACAGAGCATTAGAGAACAAAAGAAAAGGAGATAAATGGAACGGGAGTTCATGGGTACTTGATATTATCTATTGAATATTTTGATTTTTTTAACAAAAAAATCTATAGCAAAATGCCCTTAATTGGATATTATCTATTGAATATTTTAAATTTTTAAGAAAAAAAAAATCTATAGCAAAATGTCCTTAATTGGAAAATTTTTAAAAGACATCCTATAACTTTACTATTTTAAGGGGTAGGCATATACGTACAGAAGTCAATTTTCAAATTTGTACTGTGGCCCTGATAATTAGTATTCTTGTTTTTTTCTCATTGTTTTTTTTAATATTATATTATGTTATAAAAATATAAATATGAACAGTTTACACTTGGTGAGTATTCTGCTAAGTTTGATACTTTGAAGCGGTGGACCAAATAAGGAAAATAAAGTTTAAGCTATTGGCTGTTGCTGTCTCACGGAAGCAGATATGGCAATCACTAGCACGTCCCGCTCCGAATCACCGGACATCCAATCTCCACTCCTAAGCGACACCGTCGAAGCGTCCGTCGACTACAAAGGCCGCCCAGCCTATAAATCCAACTCCGGTGGCTGGAATTCCGCCTTCTTCATAATTGGTATAAAATTTATCTCTTGACGCCTCTAATAGTTCAATTACATTAATGGTTTTTTTTATCTGTATGTTGCGATAGGAGTGGAAGTTGCAGAGAGATTCGCGTATACCGGAATAGATTCGAACCTAATTACGTATTTGACGGGGCCGCTTGGTCAGTCGACAGCTACTGCAGCGGAGAATGCGAACGCGTGGTCCGGAACGGCGTTATTGCTGCCTCTGTTAGGTGGATTTATTGCAGATTCTTTTCTCGGGAGATACCACACCATTCTTGTTGAGCAGATAATTAAGGCTACAGTTCATAATTGACTATCCTCCAAATTATTTCAAAAAGCAGATAATTAAGGCTACAGTTCATAATTGACTATCCTCCAAATTATTTCAAAAAGCAGATAATTAAGGCTACAGTTCATAATTGACTATCCTCCAAATTATTTCAAAAAGCAGATAATTAAGGCTACAGTTCATAATTGACTATCCTCCAAATTATTTCAAAAAGCAGATAATTAAGGCTACAGTTCATAATTGACTATCCTCCAAATTAGCTGTTGAAATCGCAGCGCTCCTTGTAGCTATTTGGCACCACTCCAAACTTAACCTTCTCTTGTTGTCAGAGAATCCAGAGCTTTTGCTGTTAGCGGTAGGTTGCTAACAGTTGTTATTGTGAAGTTGTATCGAGCAGGTTGGTGGGTTTGGTTCGGTTTGAACAAAGTAACCGAGCGTTTTAAATAAATTTAAATCAAACTAAATATTTAATTTGGTTTGATTTAACCGTTTAGATGGTTTGGAAAAAGAAAAATTAAGTTTTCTCCGTTTATCTAGTTAACAAGAAAAAAGAAATTAACATTATATTAAACATGGAAAATAAATTAACACAAATTATGCCATGAAATACACATAATTTTAAATAGATATTGAAAGTTTTTAAATTAATATCTTATTTGTTTATTCTTAGTATGGTATATAAAAGGTTATATATTCAATAAGAGGTTAATTAAACAATTTATAAACATAAAAATTAAATTTTGTATTTTACATTTATTACTAAAGAAATTATAAAAATATATATTTTTGCTCACAATATAATTTTGTGTATATATTAATCTAATTTTCAATGAATCTTTAACATTTGAACTTTGTATTATCCCCTCAAAAAACAAAAACTTTGTATAAAATAATTATATAATTTATATAATTCATATGAAATTATTGGTCAATTATTATCCAATATAAATTAATTTCATAATTTACTATTCATTATAAAGTATTCAAAGCAAAGGAAAATTTCATTCAAAAAAATTAAATTCAATTTAAAAATTCAAACATATATATATAATGGTTTGATTCGGTTTGGACGGTTTTAACCTCAAAATAGTAAACCAAACCAATTGATTTTTAAATTTTATAAAATCAAATCAAATCATCAATTTTTTACAATTGCAATTTTAGCTTGTTTGGGTCAGTTTGAACGGTTTGGGCAATTTGATGAACACTCTAGTATTGAGTTTTTTTATTCAGTTTGAATTTTCAAAAAGACCTAGATAGTTGAAATTTTAAGGTAGTAAATTGAACCGAACTAAGTCTTATGGAACCGAAAATCCAGAAATAACCATGGAACTAATTGAATTAACTGAAATTTCAATATATATATATATATATATATCCTTTCAATATATATATATATATCCTTTCAAAAAAAAACATATTTATATGTATTATTTTAATAATATTATAATATTTTGTTTTTTTATAATCAGAATCGAACTGAATTAAATTGAATCAAATTATTAAAATAAAAATCAAACCACAAATAATTAAAAAATCAGATCTGATTCGGTTTTTGTTAAGCAAACAGAATGGTTCCTAAAAATTGAACCGAACACATTCCTTTTGAGAGCCTGCACACTATCTACTTGGTGTTCGTCCATTTAATTGGTGGGATATATCTACCTGATAGCGGGCTGCTACTATTTTCCACCACTTCCTAAAAAGTTGCACAGATCCATAAAATAAAATTAGTCCTAACTCTGCTTTTTCATTGCTTTAGTTTTAAGATTTATGCCATGTTTTGAATTTAATCTCAGGGACTTGGCTTGTTGGCTGCATCGGCTATACTCACTTCTCCCAGTGCTTCTGATTGCCCAAACACTAAAAATGACGCGTCTTGTTCTCCATATTCAATTCAAGTCGTTTTATTCTTCTTTTCTCTCTACTTGGTAGCACTTGGCCAAGGTGGACAAAAACCTTGTATTCAGGCCTTTGGAGCAGATCAGTTTGATGGACAAGACCCAGAGGAGCAGAAAGCCAAAAGCTCATTTTTCAATTGGTTGTATTTTGGCACTTGTGCTGGCATCTTAGCAACACACCTAATATTAGTATACATCCAAGACAACCTTAACTGGTTTCTTGGATTTGGAATCCCATGTATTATGATGGTCATTTCACTATTCATCTTCTTACTTGGAGCTAAGACATATCGTTATAGTGTAAAAGTAGAAGATAGAAGTGCATTTTTGAGAATTGGTCAGGTATTTATTGCAGCAATTAGGAATTGGCGAACTTCCCCTTCTGCAGTAGATTTAGAGGAAGAAGCTTGTGGAACACCACCTCACTCTAGTTCAGAGCAATTCAAGTAAGAGAAGTAACTTGTTTTTTTTTTTTTTTTTTTTTTTTTGTGGAACAGCCACGTCACTTCTATTCAGAGCAATAAAGTAAGAGAAGTAAACTTGTTTTTTTTTTTTCTTTTTTTTTCCATGGGGACCCTTGCAGCTCGTTAATATATCATTTGTATACCTGCAATTGCCAGGTTCCTAAACAGATGCCCGCTTGGCACTCCAAGGCGTCAAAGGAAGATTTTTTTTTTTTTTTTTTTTTTTTCCATGGGGACCCTTGCAGCTCTTTAATATATCAATTTGTATACTCTTAATTGCCAGGTTCCTAAACAGAGCCCTGCTTGCACCAAGTGGCTCAAAGGAAGATGTGAAGGTGTGTAGCCTTGGTGAAGTTGAAGAAGCTAAGGCAGTACTTAGGCTTGTTCCAATATGGGCTACAAGCTTGCTATATGCTGTTGTGTTTGCACAATCCACAACTTTCTTTACTAAGCAAGGAAAAACTATGGACAGGTCCATTACAAAGGGTTTCGCCATACCACCAGCTTCACTTCAATCTTTTAGCACCATTGCTAGTGTTTTATTCGTTCCAATCTATGACCGTGTCTTTGTTCCTGTTGCAAGGGCTTTAACTAGGAAAACTTCTGGCATTACAATGCTTCAGAGGATTGGAATTGGGATGGCTTTATCTTCTCTCTCTCTGGTAATTTGTGCCCTGGTTGAGATGAAGAGGCTCGAAATTGCTCGAGAATATGGATTGGTCGATATGCCAAATGTGACAGTTCCGATGAGCGTGTGGTGGTTAGTTCCTCAGTACGTCTTGTTTGGAGTATCTGATGTGTTTACGATGGTTGGTCTGCAAGAATTCTTCTATGATCAAGTACCTAGTGAATTAAGAAGCGTAGGCCTTTCTCTCTACCTTAGCATTTTTGGTGTAGGAAGCTATATAAGCAGCTTTCTTGTCTCTGCTATTGAGAAAGCCACTGGTGGGGAAGGCCGTGACAGTTGGTTCGCTAATAATATGAATCGAGGGCATCTCGATTATTTCTATTGGCTACTTGCAGGTATGAGCACAGTACAATTGCTTGCTTACTTCTATTTTGCTAAAAGTTATGTCTATAAATCGACGGCTTCTTCCGATGAATCGTAATGTAATATAATCAAATGCAATGTATATTTTAAAAATACATTTGATTATAGCGCATTTACATTTTATTACAACATATAAAATGAAGCATTAATGTGAATGCAACATTGTAAATACGATACTTCTGTTGTACTATTGCAATTGTTATATGCTATGGCAGGGAAAAAATAAGAGGAGAATGTACAGATAAGTAATTACTTGTACGATAATGTAATTTTAATTCATTTGTATTCAATTAATAATTTACTATTATATGCTTAGACATTATATTACATTTCATTGTTCTCTTAGGCCATGTTTGGTATGATGTAATCAACCATGTAATAGAACGGATATTACATTAAATGACTGATTATATTATTTGATTAAACTTTTTTTGAACAATGTAATGTAATTAAGATTACATGTGTAATCTTCATTACTTAATTTGATGTAATATTCATTACATCGAAAAACACATGTATTGTCCATTACATCAATCACAATTAATACCAATTTATATCAAGTTATCCCAATAAAAACTTTACCATTCAAGGCTATTTAAATAAAAACTTTACCATTCAAACCTACCCCAACCACCATTGCGCCACAACTACCAGCACGCTCACCACCACCGCTGCTGCTCCACCACATCACCACTGCTCCACCGCCTACCACCCCTACCTTAACCACCAATCACACCACCACCATGTTGAGAATCTGGGCCCTAGGAGCAATTAATCAAATCAAATTCAATTATATATTTACTATTGGGCTTGTAATGAGTTGGGCTTACCTCTAACACAAAATGGCCTAAGCCATTTTGGTTGGTTCACCCTTCACATTATATGTCCTTTTAGTTAGTTGTATTTATCTGATGTGGGATTACCCACATACACCCCACATACTCCAACACGGCCCACCAATACTCCATCACCTCAACCACCCATCGTCCTCCACGTCAACCACCCACCGACTGCTCAACTCACATCGACCATTTGTTTCCACCACCGTCCACCTTCAACCAACACCACCTCAACTACCATGTATCACACCACAACCATACTTTGCGTTGCTCGCCCACGGCACGTATCACTCTACAGGCCACCACAAGTATCAACTCCTAACCAACCACGACATAATGAAATTATGTTTAGTGTTAATAAGATGAAATAAATTTTATTTATATTTTATTATAAAAATGGAATATAATAGAAATAAGAGAAACAAAAAAGGTATCAAAAAATACTCATAAACGTAGAATAATAAATGGTAAGGTTGTAATTTATCAATGAAAATATATGAAAAAAGAAGTTAATTTCTAATTAACTTAATTAACTTTTTATTTTGTTATAGTTAACATGAGGGTTATTTTGTTATATTACATTAGGGGTGAGCTTTCGGTTTGGCCAATTCGGTTAATTCAATTAATTCGATTAATTCGGTCAATTTGGTTCGATGAATAAATGTTCGGTTAAAAGTTCGATTCAAAAAAATTAAAATTTTGATGGTCGGTTAAAAATTAATTTAACCGCATTAATCAAATTAATCGACTCTCAAAACTACGTCGTTTTGATTAAGTAGATAATAAAATTAAAAATTAAAAATTAAAAATATTTTCAGTTTTTATTTTGATTAAGTAGTAATTAAGAACTTCAGTTAATTTTATTTCGGTTAAAGTCGGTTAACCATAAATTTTAGTTAAATTTGATCGGTTATTTAAATCAGTTCGGCTAAGAATAAAATTAATTCGGCCAAAACGGTTCGATTAAGTTCTGTTAAAAAATAAATTCGGTTAAATTTGGTTAAGTAAAAAAAAATTCAATTAATTTATCGGTTAAAAATTTTACTCAAATTGGCCGAATTAGCTTAATGATCAACCCTAAATTATATATTTTCAGTTTACTTTCTTTTAATTTTGTAGTTCAAATAAATTTATAAATCTAAATGATCTTTAATAGTTTAATATGATGAATACTTTTTAGTTCAAATATTTCTTTTGTATTAATAATGAGATGTGGTGGTGGTGGTGGTGGTAGTGGAGTGGTGTTTGAGGTGGTGGTGGTGGAGTGATGTTTGAGATGGTGATGATGGTGATGGTGGTGGTGGAGTGATGATGATGGTGTGATTTGTTGTGAAGGCAGTGGTGGTGGTGGTGGAGTGGTGATGGTGGTGTGATTTGTGGTGGTGCAGGAGTGGTGGTGGTAGCGGTGTGATTGATGGTGGTAGTGTTTTAATTACATTACATTACATATTTACTACATATTTACAAACAAACATAAAAATGAAATGGTGATTACATTCCATAAATTTTATCAATTATATTACCAAACATAATAATGGAATCTTAATTACATTGCATTCCATTACATTTTTTATTACATTACATCTTTGATTACATGACATTGCATTACATCCAACTAAACATAGCCTTAATGTATTTGTAATGATTGTATTATAAAAAAAGTGTTAATGATTTCATCCAAGTTATATATAATTAAATGTAAATTGTTTAAGGTGTTGGGTGTCAAAATGGTTTGGCGTTTCAGGTTCAACATAGATTCGCCTAACATACGACATGATTAGAATTTTGTCAACATGAACACGACATGAAAATTAGACGGATGATAAGAAAATAAGTTGTAAACTATTCAACTCAAAATATATGTAAAAATAAATTTTCATACATAAAATGTATACATTTTTCAAGATTCATAACTAAAATAAAAAAATACAACAATAAAATTTAGTTGAGTATTTATATATGATAAAAAAACTTATCTCTTTACCCTTAAATAAACGGGTCACTCGCCTAACCTGCATGTCAATCCATGACACGACATGTTTATATTTGAGTTACAAATGGGTAACTTGTTTATGACACGAATCCATTTAACTTCAACCCTAACCAAGGGAAGAGGGAGGAGGGAATGGGAGGAGCTCGTGCTCCAAACTTCAAATAATTTAAAAATGTTACCTATTATAGTGCAAAAAAATTTATTTTCCTTGATTTTGCCCTCCTTAATTTTAAAAATTTTCTTTTGGCCCTCCTCTAGTTTTAGAGTTTGGCTCCCCTTGTCCTAATCCGTTTATTTCAAATGTTAAACGAATCATGTTCACGTGTCATGAACCATTTTAACACTTTTATAACCCAATTAGAATAAATGAATCATAGTTGTAGGATTCATTTGTAAATGAATTTCAAGTAGAATTTATTTGCAATGAATTTGTCATGTTTGGTATGCTACAATTTAAAATAAGGAATTCAATTGAACTCTACAAAATTATTTTTAGAATAAATTCTTAAATGAAAATTCATATTTCTTATAACAAACACCAATTATATTTATTATGTACAATATAATAACTTGTCATTTTTTATTAAAATATAAATAATAAATTTCATATAATTAAGTACACTAATATTCCACGCTAATTAATTAATTATATAAGCAGTAACATTCATGATAATAAATATATCTAATTGATTTAAAAAATTTTATTGATTTAAGTAATTAATATGGAAACTAAACAAAATATTAAGAATGTTATTATTATTTTTAATTGCATTTGAAAACAATTGTTGATACTCAGTTTTTATAATTTTACAGTAATAATAAATAACGTTATTACTAGACTTCAAAAAGAAAAAAAAAAACAGTGATTACTAGTTTAAAAGTTTTCAAAAAAAAAAAGGAAAAATATAAAAATATAAACTAAAGTCATTATTGGATAAAAAAATAAAGTTGTTATAGTTCGAAATTTTCCAAAGAAAATAAACAAAACAGAAAAAAAGTAAAAATAGTTCAGTTCATAGTGGAGGGTAATTTTGTCAATAAATATTTCAATGGTTAATTTTATGGAATTCATTTACAAATTCCATCAATGTTTGTAGAATTTAAATTAGGCATACCTAATTTCATAGAATTTAATTCGTAGAATTCAAATATATTTTTTTTTTATTCCAAACACAACATTTTGAATTTCCAAATGAATTCCACAAAATTTGTTCCAAACACAATATTTTGAATTTTGTGAAATTCATTTGTTTCAAACGGGCTCTTAGTGTTGGGTGTATAATTAAGTTTTTTTAAAATATTAAGTTATATCATATTCTATTTTACAACAAATTATGATAAATTGGTTTCTTTAATATGTTTAAATGTACTATTATAATAGACCTTCTAAGAAAAAAAAATATAGGTCTAATCATCAGTTTCACTTGAACCAACCTCACTATAGTTTTAAGATCCATTTAATTAGTTGTTCATACGATAACCTATAGCTAGTATTTGGCGATTAGTAACGGTTAACCAATGAATATTGGTATTTGGTACAATTTTGATAGCAATTATTGTTGAAAACTAAAATGATTATTAATGGTATATTTGTTTTTATATATTATGATGTATTTTTAATTTAGGATGAACATAATATTTTTAATGTAACATAACAAAACGCTAACTACATTTTTAAAATAAATATTTAATAGAATTTTGTTATTTTGAATGATTATAAATAAGATTATAAAATATATTAACTTAAAAAATATAATTTTACTATTAACTATTTTCATAAGTTAAAACAACAATATAAATTATATCAACTAAAAATTGATACGAATAAGTTTTAAAATGTGAACAACTAATTGAGACTTTATAGCTATCAGTTTTCTAATTGAATTCCTTACCAAAATCTATAATTTAGAAGGCGTTTGATTCAGCTGATTTCTGCAGTCGATAACTGATTTGCTCTTAATAACTAAATTGCAAGTGTTTGGTAAAAATTTTAATTAGCACTTAATAACTGATAGAAGTTTCAATCAACTGATTGGGCAGCTGATTTCGCTGGGTTTTAGAACATTTCCTATCAGCTCGTAGTTGATTTATATTCATTTTATATTTCGACTTTATTAACCTTTTAAAAATAATTAATAATAAAATTATTTCTTTTCAAATTATTATTTTTTATCATTTTATTTATAGTTATTTGAAAATAAGTCGAATACATATTTTAACCTATGAACTTTTAAAAAAAAATTATGTGTCACTCTCAACTTTAAAACCAGCATAATGACACTTTGAACTTTATTTTTTGTAATAATCATACACTTCCTTGTACTAATAGCAATAATTTTAAGATTTTTTACTTTTATAAGCAAAATATTGATTTGGTACGTGGTTAATGCAATGTTTGGAATAATAATAATTTTTACATTTTTCGATTATTTAATTATTCAATCAAGTATTTAATCGATCTAATTTTATAAGTTGAAGTGTTCAGTAGATCAACTAGCGTATATAGTCACCTAATTCTGTAAGTTGAATGTTAACTGGGTCAAAGTAAAATTTGAATGTATCCCGTAAAGAATACAAGGTAAATTTATGTATTAAGTGATTAAAAGTAATAATTTTCTATTAATATTATTTTTAAAAAATTAATTAATATTTATTTATATCACACATTAAAATGAAAAACGATACATTCACTTTAGAAATTGCAAAAATTATATATAATTATATATCATAATATACAAAACCAATTATATACTTCGGTCTAGCTTTCAGCAGGAATGTACCCGCAGAATTACAACAAAGTATTATTCAGCTGCTCGGGATCCGGCCGATTGACCATTTCAATAAGTATTTAGGTCTGACGGCTATTATAAGGAGGAAGAAAAAACAGACGTTTACAAATCTCATTGACAAGGTGGGGAAAAAACTTAAAGGTTTTCCCTTTCTCGTGCAGGTAAAGAGGTTTTATTGAAATCTGTTATCTAGGTGATCCCAAACTATACCACGTCTTGCTTCTTGCCACCGCAGGACATCTGTGATAAAATTGAAAGTTTGATGTGTAATTTTTAGTGGGGACAAAAGAAGGATGAGAGACGAATCCATTAGGTTAAATGGCAAAAGTTGTGTAAGTCGAAGTACTGGGGTGGCCTTGGTTTTAAGGATTTGCCTTCATTCAATTTAGCCATGTTGGCAAAGTAAGGATGGCGATTAATTCAAGATGACACTTCATTGCTGGCCAGAACCTTGAAAGCTCGATATTACCCAAACAAAACATGTCTTGAGGTTCTAAAGGCTATCGATCCAGCTTTACATGACAAAGTATTATTGAGGCTAGATGGATTGTTGAACGAGGTACTCGTTGGGTTGTGGGAGATGGGTCTCGAATTCGTCTCTGGTTTAATAGGTGGATCCCTAACTTTTCAAATATCCAACACTTCTCTTCTTCATCTGACTTGGGAGAAAACGCAACGATACTTGATTGACAAGGACAGAGGTGGATCGGATAAGGAATTAATATACCGGATATTCCCTAATGAAATTGTTGTGCGAATTTGTCAGATTCCACTTTGCTTGGATCACCATCCTGATTTGCGTTAAAAAAAAAAAAAAAAAAAAAAAAGGAAATTACACTGTTAGTTCAGCTTATGCTATGACCTTTGCCTCCGTCCTAGCAATGTCGACACCTAGTTCTTCTGATCCCACTCCTGATTCTAGTTGGAAACGACTCTGGTCCCTATCTGTCCCACCAAAAATAAAGCATTTTCTTTATCGAGCTTGCACTGCCCAGCTTCCTACAAAAATGGCTCTTGCCCTACATGGAGTTCAGGTGGAGACTCTTTGTGCTACATACGGAGAGATGGAGGAGTCTATTGAGCATTGAATTCTTTTTTGTTCTCATGTTTCTAGGGTCTGGCTAGTCAGTCCACTGGGATTGACTGTCGGGTAGGATCAGACAACCTTCAGAGATTGGTTTAGTTCAATTTTGAATGTACTTCCAAAGGATCAGATTGAGCTAGTAGCTTCAACAGCTTGGGCTATCTGGAAAGGTCGAAATAGTTGGATTTTCCAACTGAAAATATTTTCCGTGCTCCAAGTAAGTGAATTTGCTTTCTCGATTCTTTATGAGTACCAAATTCTGCAGGGTAATTTCGCTCCTCAGGTAGCAGAACCGAGATGCCCAAAATGGAAACCTCCAGATGAAGACTTCATTAGAGTAAACTGTGGTGCGGGCTTGGCAACTAATGACAGAAATGCTGGTCTGGGTGCGATGATGAGAAATGCAGATGGTGCAGTAATGGCAGCAGCGTATAAGCGGATTGAAGGTGAATTCATGCCAGAAGAAGCTGAAATGGAAGCAATCTTATTTGCTGATGAGCTTGAAAGAACTTCATCTTTCACCAAAATAGCTGTGGAATCTGATTACTTATCGCTGGTTCGTCAATTCGGCTCTAGGCCTTTCCCTTACACTGAGATGGGAACACGTTTTTGGAATTTGCAACTGTTAGCCTCTCAGTTTAGTTTATTTTCTTTCGATTATGTCAATCGAGTGTGTAATAAACCAGCCCATCAGTTAGCTCATCTTGCTTTGGATGATGATACTGGCTGGAAAGTGTGGGTGGAGGAATGTCCTTCATCTGTCGCTGTTTTTGTTGACTCTGATTGCTTGACTATTACTTTATAAAATTAGCAGTTTCATTCTTTAAAAAAAAACTTATATACTTCCGTCATTTTACATTTTAATAACAGCTACTACTAAAATTTTGTGAAATAACAACGTTAATAAGCTAATCAATGTTAATTATCAATTACATTTACGAGGTATCACCGACCAACTGTCAGTAATCTTTATACACTATATATTTCTTGATATAAATAATTAAATCAAATAGACTCTTTAGTTATTAAATATGAATCAGTTATTAACTAACTGAATTAGCCAAACTAAACCACCTCCTAATGACAAGTGACCATAGCCTAAGTATTGAACTTTCTTGTCTTCTTAACTACATGTAAATACTTTAATCTCCCTCCATGATAATGTCATATCCCTAATTTCTTTCTACATATATATTTTACTTTGGGCACTCTACCTATTACATTCTCAATCCAAACCTCACAAGCAAATTTGTTTTATGACCAAATTTATTTTACATCACAAATGCAAATTTAAACAAGGGCTGAATTATACTTTAAACATTAAGAGAATTAAAAATAAAATTGAAGCTCTTTTAAATTTGGAAGAGACTGAGTATTTACATTTTTTTTTTAAATATAAATAAACTTTAAGAAAGATAAATTGGTTAACTAGCGTCTCCTTAAATATTGAGGGGAGTAATAAAAAATTAGTGCAAAAAAGTTTTGGTTTTGTTTGGTTGGATAAATAAATATGATTAATGGAATCCCTGATTCATTCAATTACAGTCACTCGTTCAAAAAATCAAAAAACAACAATAATTAAAATTCAAATCAAAATAAGGACGAAATAAATAAAATATTTTATGAAAATATCATCCACTTGCTTGCGGTTCTACTGTACAAGTAGTTATTCTGCAATTTTGCTTCTTGGCTAACCATAGAGAAGAGAGCTGGGTTCTGGTGGCTGTTCCAGGTTCGCTCACTAGCAGCAGTGATGGCCACCATAACCGACTCGTCGGACATCCAAACTCCACTTTTATATGACACCGTAGAACCCGCCGTTGACTACAAAGGCCGTCCCGTCTTTAGATCCCGTTCCGGTGGCTGGAGATCTGCCTCTTTCATAATAGGTAAATTAGACATTAATTAATCCATTAGTTTTTTTAGTCTATTGATTAATTTTTTTATATATGTATTTTAAGGCGTGGAGATCGCAGAGAGATTTGCGTATTACGGAATAGCTTCGAATTTAATTACGTATTTGACTGGGTCGCTTGGTCAGTCGACGGCTACTGCGGCGGAGAACGTGAATGCTTGGTCAGGAACTGCCTCCTTGCTGCCTTTGTTTGGTGCATTTGTTGCTGATTCTTTCCTTGGGAGATACCGTACCATTGTTGTTGCCTCTCTTATTTATATCTTGGTAAATTCCTGTCTCTTTGATTTATTTTCACTTCTGTATTTCCAGTTTCTTAGTATAAGATATGCTCAGTAACATTGTAGTATAAGTGAATTATGTGATTTCACCTTATATATGCAATTATTGCTGTTGATGGGATTGTATGACCAATGAGCTTCTTGTATGCAAGTGCCTATATGAAACCAAATTTAATCCAGTTTCACTCCATATTATTCTTCTTTATCTCGAGCTGATTTAACTTAAAATAAAATGGAATTTTTCAAAATTATCTAACTCAAAGAGTATATTATTAAGGCTTTAGTTTAAGAATTGGCCATCCTCCAAATTAAATGTGAAAGCTACTGCGTTCTTCACACCTTTTTGTCCCACTCAAAACTCTATAGTTTAAAGCCATTGAGTTTATCATAAATGGTTGCTTATAATTGTTATCGATTGTGGATAACTGGTAGTTGAGGACTGTTGAGTATTCATTTTTTTGTGAAAAATTTTGTTAACTGACATTATTCATAGACCAAATTACCATTAAGGATATGAGATGATAGTATTTATATATTTTCATTTGTAATTTTTTATTGACTTGTACAATCCAAAAATAGCTAAAAGTATTATTTAACAAAGTCACAATTAATTTTCTTTTAGATTTGGTAATAAATTTTAGTTCCAAATACGAATATGATAACTAATTCAAGTATTGTAATTATAAGATATGTTGCCTACAAAAATTTCATTCAGAATTCAATTAAACTGTAATAGCTACTAAGTGAAAAGGAAAAAAGCCACATATTAGAGCGATTTTACTCAACAACTGCTTGGACTCCCAATTGCCAATTGAAAGATGTACTATTGATCCAAACATACTCCTATGAAAACCTTTACAAAATCTAATTTCTTGACCAACACTTGAATTGATGGGATGTATCTGATTTTGAAAACATCAACATTATATGGTGAAAGCTGCTAAATAGCTGGTTACTCCCTTTTCTTGACCATTTTCTAATGCTTTCAAATGTTTATCCTGATCTATTGGAAATAATCATCATACATGTTTTTATGGCTTTGGTTTTAAGATGTATACCATGTTTGGAATTTAATCACAGGGACTTGGCTTGTTGACTCTATCAGCTATGCTTGCTTCTTCTCACAGTGCTTCTGATTGCCCAAGCACCAACATTATCAAGTCTTGTTCTCCTAGTTCATGTCAAGTAGTTTTATTCTTCTTTTCTCTGTACTTGGTAGCACTTGGGCAAGGTGGACACAAACCTTGTGTTCAGGCCTTTGGGGCAGATCAGTTTGATGGGCAAGATCCTGAGGAGTGCAAATCCAAAAGCTCATTTTTTAATTGGTGGTATTTTTGTATGTGCGGAGGCACTTTAGTTTCACTACTGTTCTTAAACTACATCCAGGACAACCTAAATTGGGCTCTTGGATTTGGAATCCCATGTATTATGATGGTTGTTGCACTATTCATTTTCTTAGTTGGAACTAAGACATATAGGTATAGTGTCAAAGTAGAAGAGAGAAGTGCATTTCTGAGAATCGGTCGGGTATTTGTTGCAACAGTCAAGAATTGGCAAACTTTGCCTTCTGCAATAGATTTAGAGGAAGAAGCTCGTGGAATTCTACCGCATCATAGTTCAGATCAATTCAAGTAAGAGATTATAAATTTTTGCTTTTTGGTAATCAGAAAAAGTAGTGATTGCAAATGCATCAACATGTCCTGAAAAATTTTAACATAGTTGAAAGATCATTTAGGGTTCCTGCACATAAAAATGATCTGAGCTCTATGATCTCTCTGAAGCAATTAGGTATATTTATAGCAATTAAAATGTGTTATTTATGTTTGTACTTGCTAATAACATTCTGAAAAGGCAAAGATGTGAATTTGAGGGGATTTGTAAGAAAATCACTGTTTAATAACTATCATTTGTATGGCAGCAATGGACTCTAAGCTGTGTTGTTTTTGCAATGGACTCTTGCAGCTCTTTGCAATGCTTAAATATTGAAGCAATGCATAACCAAAATAGATTTTGATTGCTACGACACATCAAAGCTCTTGTAAGCAATTTAGATTTTCTAATGTGTCAGGTTCCTAAACAAAGCACTGGTTGCACCAAATGGCTCAAAGGAAGGTGGGAAGGTGTGTAGCCTCGGTGAAGTTGAAGAAGCTAAGGCAGTACTCAGGCTTGTTCCAATATGGTTTACATGCCTGATATATGCAGTGGTGTTTGCACAGTCCGCAACTTTCTTTACTAAGCAAGGAGTAACAATGGATAGATCCATTTCAAAGGGTTTTGATGTACCACCAGCTTCACTTCAATCCTTTATCAGCCTTGCCATTGTTCTTTTCGTTCCAATCTATGACCGTGTCTTTGTTCCCATTGCGAGGACATTAACAAGGAAACCTTCTGGCATCACAATGCTCCAAAGGATTGGAACTGGGATGTTTTTATCTGCACTGTCTATGGCAATTGCTGCTCTAGTTGAAATGAGGAGGCTTGAAATCTCTCGAGAATATGGACTGGTCGATATGCCAAATGTAACCGTTCCAATGAGTGTTTGGTGGCTAATTCCTCAGTATGTCTTATTTGGAGTTGCTGATGTGTTTACGATGGTCGGTCTGCAAGAATTCTTCTATGATCAGGTTCCTAGTGAATTAAGAAGCGTGGGTCTTTCTCTCTACCTCGGCATCTTCGGTGTAGGAAGCTTTATAAGCAGCTTTCTCGTTTCTGCTATTGAGAAAGCCACTGGCGGTGAAGGTCATGATAGTTGGTTCTCTAATAATCTGAACCGTGCACATCTTGATTACTTCTACTGGCTACTTGCTGGTCTTAGCATAGTACAATTGATTGCCTTCTTATATTTTGCAAAAAGATATGTATATAGCAGGTGAGGGCCAATACAAAATGAATTGTTTCCTTGCTATTTATGCATGTTAGATGGTTATGTTTGGTCGATTATGTGCAGCTGAAAAAGTTATATTTCATGTAATAGCAAATGTACAACAATTGTATAAGCCACGGTATGTCTGTTTTACTCAAGATAGTTTGATCTAGTGGTTGAAAGGCATAAATTCATCCTGGTGATTTTATGATCGAGTTGTGAAGTTGCCTATTGAGAAGGGTTTTTAACGTAATCGCTCCTGAACCCGAAAGGAATTAGTAACTCATCTAACCATTAAACGAGAGGTGGGAGGACAGCTTAGTAGTACCAAAAGAAAATGATATGCAAAGAAAATGATATGCCTGTTTTGATGTACAGGAGTTTGAGGTAGTTGCATATTTAAGGGTAAGAATTGGTTGGCTTAATTCAATTTGAAATTAAGCAAAACCAAAAGGCTTGAACGATACACCATAATGGCTGGTGCTTTGCAGGCTGCATGCCAAGGCTGACCCATTGGCCCAGTCTGCGTTGGCAAGAGTCATAAACCAAATGAACCTGGGTCTGGAACAACTTTTGCATCTGAGTGACCCATGCTTAAGACGGGACATTTGTTTAAGAATTAGGTCTATTGCCACTAAAGGTGGCCTACAGGAGGCATATTAAAATCAAATGTAATTTTTTTTTTTTTTTTTTAAATGTAATTTTTTTTTTTTTTTTTTTTGAACAAAATCAAATTGAAATAGTTGTAAATATGTAAACAGTTCACCTTAAATTCATGAGGGTTACTTCCAGCCTGGGATTTGAAGTCAAGTAGAAGTTTGGTTAATCAATTGTAGAGAGCTGTTGTTGGAGAGTGAGGGGTCGTCATAAGGCTATTGCTATTGCTAACAACTAAAATTTTCAATTTGGCGAGTTTTATTTATATTTTTAATTTTTTTTTTTGAGTATTCGGGATAAGGATTCAAATCTGAATTTATTCTTGATTATATACAATTACCATTAAGCTATGTCTCGATATGCTATTATATTTTTAATTTTTAATTACTAACCATTAGACTTGGAAAAGCTATTTCAAATATTGTATTTACCAAATAATCTAAAATAAGGGTTAGAGCTGATACATGTGATAAGATTAATGGATAAAACTTGCGAAGACCTGGTCTATGGGCCATATAAGCTTGTAATTAGCAGTTTGGGAAACCAAATTATAAAAATAAATTTAAAAACCATTTTTGTTAATACAATATAAGCTTAATGCCTGTATGAATGCAGAATGGCAAATGAAAACCAGTAATGTGAGTGTTATCAAGATATGGGATTTGGGTTCTTGCCATTATTAGTAAACAAAGGGTCCTGCATTGTCTGGCTTTTGGGCCTTCAAACTCAAGCAATCAAAGTCCACATAAAGTACATGATGAAAATAAAACATTAAGAAGCAAATTACAAAATTTTGAAATTTAAAAGACTTTTGGTAGGTGGGGTTAACACATATCAATCTCAATATTTAGTCATGTTTGTACTTTTGTGAAAGCAATTTGCAATGTAGGGACACAAGCAATTAGAGTGTTTCCTTTTCCTTTTTTTTATCATTTATTAAATTTTGCAAAACCTTGGAATTAAGCAGCCAAAATAATTATCTAAAGTTTTTTTTTTGGGTACAATAACATTATTACAAGTTATAGTTCGAATAAATTTAGGTAAAATTAGTTGTTTTAATAGTTATTAGTTGTTATAATAATTGTGATGGTAGCATTTCATGAAACGTTAAAAGAAGTAATATTTCATAATACGATTTTTCAAACTCTAAATACTAATATAAATACCGTCACCAAACAATTTAAATTTTAGAGTTAAAATCACTAAATAGTGTATGAAAAGTTATTGCATTACCCATTAAGAGCAGCCTTTAACAAATAAATAAGATTGCATACCTAAATTTAAGAGTCAACAATCAGTAATCCAACTGAAAATAATCAGTTATTTGATTGGTTTGGTTTAATCCTATTTATATAGAGACTAAGATATCTAAAAACATAAAAGATGTAATAAGAAAATTAATACTCTCCAACTATTTACTTGTTACTCCTTTTTTAGACGTCTCAAAATATTTATAAGGTTTTTAAATTTAGATATATAAATAATAATTTTTCTTATAATAACATTTATAATTGTTCATTAAATGAAAGACTTTTATTAATATCTTAATGAGAAGGGTAAAAAAGGACAAAATAACTTCTTGACCAAATTCTTAATATGCATGTTTGTCAAACCATGCAAATAAAATAACACGGAGAGAGTATTTCTTTTCTATTTTTATACAATATAAATATTTAAGAGCTACAAAAACTATCAAGATTTGATCCCCATAACTAAAACCTTTACCTTTTATATGGGTTGAAATCTTTTTTTTTTTTTTTTTTTTTTTTTTTTCTTTTATATTGGGTTTTTTTTTTTTTTTTTTTTTTTTTTTTTTGAAAGGAGGTTGAAATCTATTTGAGATAAGAAACATTTTCTTTTTATCATATGCATTAAGAACATGAAAATGTGTTTCTTCGACAAAAAGTCAAGCAAATCAAGGTGCCAAAATTAACAATAGAGACTAAGAAGAAAAGAAGCTTAGAACTTAGGATATGAATGGGGTCCAGTGACAGCTCGACCCATTGTGTGTTTTCTTGGGATTTTTTCAAAGGGATAAAATGTGAGCTTAAGCTTTAAATTATGCCAATAAAAAAATAAAAAGAAGTAGCTTTGTTGGAATATTTTGGAAACCTTGGGGCTTCCAATTTCAATAATTTGCCTATCACAAGCATCAGTTGGATCTTACCTGTCAACCAATGCCAAGTCATTACTCAGGACCACTACTTAATCATTACCACTTTCAACCTAATTGCTTTGGGAATCTAGAGCTAAGAATTTTTTTGTTAAAACCAACCAATTTTTTATTTAATTTTTAAAAATTTTAGTTTGATTTCAGTTTTAATAAAAAAAACTAACATATTTTTTCAATTTTTTTTATTTTATAAAAATCAATTCAATTTATAATTTGATTTGGTTGAATTTTTTAATATAAAATATTCTATTTATTCAATTTATAGAATTTAATTTTGAAACGATACAATTGAATACTTGCATGAAAACTATATTTCATCTACAAAACCACCTCAACTCAATTTCTTGCTTTTATTTTCTTTTAAAAAATAATATTATCCTCAAAAAATGTAATGAACACATGTACATATAGTTGTGAATTTTAATGCTTTTAAAAGTTCAATCTTTTATGCTCTGAGAGTTCATTGATGCAAAAATTATGGTGGCTTGACAGGCTAAACCAAACTATCATCATACTTGTTCTCTATGATAAGCAACTTTGTTTTTAAATTATCTAAATTTAATATTATTTTAAAATACGATCTATATAATATATAAAAGGAAAGCAATTTGTCTTATATGTTAATGAAGTGTAAGTAGCACAATTTGCCACTTTGACAGTATTTTAAATTATATAATGATAAATGATGAAAAATAAAAAAAAAATTTATGCAAGTAATTTATTAGCTGTGTATATCAAAATATCTTTTCATTCCTCAAGATAGATATTAAAAGTATATACACTGATATACATATACATATATATTCTCTTTTTATATATTATATAGATAAACAATCATTTATAATAAATCATAAACATAAAATAAAAAATATTTAATTTCTTATTTCAATCTAATTAGTTAAATTTTCAAAATTATTATCACTGTTGAAAAATAGATTAATAGTGTGTGTGCATTTTTTGATACGGCCATACTATGCATGACTTTTGCTATTGCATATTTGGTGAAGGGATTGCATGATATTTAAGAAGTGATATCTTAGCATTGAAACTTTTTCGGTATATTCAATAAGATATAATTTTGTAATACATTTTATGATCATTTTATTATACAATTTTTATGGGTGTAAATAGGTTATGACGCATGGACACGATTTGCTTAGCACGCGAAATAAACGGGTTATAGTTGAGGTTAATTGATATCAAAAATCATAAATGAGTCATTATTTATAACACGAATATAAACATGTCGTATTATGGGTTGACGCGCACATTAGGTAAGTGACCCACCCGTTTATTTAATGATAAACATAAATCTTCCGACTAAAATCCTATTTAAACTTTATTTATGAATTTTTTTTTGGTTTTTGTTACGAATCTTGAAGAATCCATGCAATTTTATATATAAAAATTTATTTTAAAATATAATTTGAATTAAATAGGTTAAAACTTAAAAATTTATAAGCAGGTTAAATGAGTCGTATATAGGTCAATATGATCTACTTAATTTGTTTATGGTTTACACAGGTCGTATACAGGTTCACACGACTCACTTAACATATTTATAATATTAGACGGGTTACACGTGTCGTGTTTGTGTCACCCGTCTAATTTCCGTACCGTGTACGCGTTGACAAATTTGACAGATTATTAAATGAGTTGTGTTCATGTTGATCCTAATCGCATTACGTATTAGGCGAATCCATATCAAACCCGACACACCAACGATCTTAACACTCCTAATAATTTTTTATTATTTTTAAATAATATTATAAAAAGTTATTTTATTTTTTAATATTGCTCGGCGCATCCTCCTACTTTTAACACCGATTGTACTTCAAATATAAACATACCCATGTTGTATAGTTTAGAGGAAGTTAATTTTTTATATTTTCTTGATTTCATGTTTGAAACGTTTTCAGATTCAAAAAATGGAATCCAACGTGTGAATAATGTCGAATGTACTAATTGATACAAATCCAAAATTCCAAACGTTATTTATTCTAACTTTGCAAAAAAAAAAACAAAAAAAAAAAGCTGTATTTCGTAAAAAAGGAAAAGAAATGAAGTAAAGGATGTAATATTAAAAATAATTAATGGGAGATTTATTTATTGAAAATTCAAAATTCTTGTAGAAATTTGCCTTTTTTGAAAATTAAAATTTTGATAAAAAAAAATTCTAGATGTGTTACATTCTTATATTTGGTTGTAAATATTTTTTTTTCTCTAAGAGAATACAATTATTTTGTTTGAATAATGTATGAAAAAATATATATAATGCAATAATATTCTTAATTTATTTATATTTTCTTTACTTGATATTTAGAATTATACCATAATTATATAAGTATTAAAATCAATAAATAT